CAGTCTAACTCTGAGACACAGGGGAAAGATATTGCCTTGCCAAGGTCTTATGGTAGACTCTCTAGACCAGCGGTTCTCAATTAGGGGCAATGTTTCCCCCCAGGGGACATTTGACAATGTCTGGAGACATTTTTGACTGTCACAATTGAGGGGGAGAATGCATCTGGGGGAGGCTGTTAAACATCTTGCAATGCACATGGCAGCAAAGATGAACTGGTCCCAAGTAAATGTTGGTAGTGTTGAGGCTGAGAAACTCTGGATTAAACGAGTCGGAGAATAGTCAATCTACTGCCTCTCGGATTCGAGGCCGTAGACGCAGAGCTGGGAGGAGAAGAAACAGGGCACGTCAGGGCACAGACTCACTAGGTGCTCACATGCGGGCGGAGAAAGATTTCTCAGACAAAGATTAAGATATAAAGAAGTAAAAAGTTTATTTGCTTTCCTGAGAAGGAAAGAAAGAGAGAGAGAGGAAAAAAAGAGAGGAAAAAAAGGGAAAATGGCATGACACTGAAGAAAGTAGGGGAAATGCCAGCAGCTGAGGAAATGGGGCTCAGGCTTTTAAAAGGTAAAAATGGCTTTATTTCTTTGCTGCACACTGATAGTGGGAGGCAGCTGGCAGCTGTTTCTAGTTTTCTCTCTCTCTCTTTTTTTTTCCTTTTCTCTGTGAGGCGGGCTTATCAGAGTCCTTGGGATGTGGACCGGAGAGAACTGGAGCAGGGAGTTTGTACCCTTGCTGTCTGCTTAGAGCACTTCAGGGTGGTGAAAATGAAATCTTAGAGACAATCAGTTAATCTTAAAGACAATAAGTTGAGTCCCAGGTGTTTAGTCAAACAAAACAAAAGGCAGTTGTGTTGTGAGTTAATTCCTCTTACTTTCTGTGTGATAGTTTATCTTTCTCTGTTAGCTAGTTTATTAACAAGGCCGTCCTTTTAGGGCAAGAATCAGAATGAAGCCTGCACCTCTTGGCTAAGCTACTGTAACAGAGTCTCAAAACACAGGGGCTGCAATAAAAGAGGAATTTATTTCCTGTGCACCTAGTGGTCCACAGGCAGGCAGGTCCAGGTAGGCACGCAGCTCTGTGAATGAGGCCTTGTGGGGAGCAGGCTCCTTTGTTTTTTTGCCAGCCGTTCCCTGGGTGTTGGCCTTGTTTGCATGAGTTGAAGTTGGTTTCAAATCTGCATTCAATGGCCAGGCGCGGTGGCTCACGCCTGTAATCCTAGCTCTCTGGGAGGCCGAGGCGGGCGGATTGTTTGAGCTCAGGAGTTCGAAGCCAGCCTGAGAAAGAGCGAGACCCCGTCTCTACTAAAAATAGAAAGAAATTAATCAGACAACTAAAAATATATACAAAAAATTAGCCGGGCATGGTGGCGCGTTCCTGTAGTCCCAGCTACTCGGGAGGCTGAAGCAGGAGGATCGCTTGGGCCCAGGAGTTTGAGGTTGCTGTGAGCTAGGCTGATGCCATGGTACTCACTCTAGCCCGGGCAAAAGAGTGAGACTCTGTCTCAAAAAAAAAAAAAAAAAAAAAATCTGCATTCAAGCATACACGAAGCAGGAAAAAGGAAGTAGAGGACAAGTAAAAGTTGACATACCCAGAAGTAGAAGCAGGTCAGATTGGTTGTAAGATCTAATTGTTAAATTTTCAGGAATTTTGGGAGTTTGTTGTTAAACACAATCATTATTAAAAATTGAATTATATAAACATACAATTAAATAAATTATATTAAAAACAAAGGTAATTAAGTACTCAAAATATATCCCAATTTCTTTTACTACAATCTGCTATCATCTACGTTCTTGAGATTATTCCCATCTATTTTATCTGCATGCTGAACATGGCGCATAATGTTGTGTGCTACTGTGCATCTCTTCCCAACTCTGTGCTCAGTGACATCACAATGGTAGCTTCAAATCAGTCACAGTGGGAGTCTTGACACCACAAAAATCAGTAAACTCTACAAATCAGAGCTTGTTTGGTTGATTGTCTAAATTGAAGAAAATGATCAAGAAAATGTTAATAATGCAGGTTAAACCTGAACCTGTGTTGCACCCATAGCCATTGCATTGTGAGTAGCATAAGAAGTTGAGGAAATATTCTCTCTAAATTTGAAAACTATTATTTGATTCAGCAAAGAAGTTGTTCACATCACTGACAAACGAGTGAAGTTACAACAAATGTCTCTATTGTTTCACTTTTGTCTTGCTCATTAATGTAAAAGAAAATATCAACCAACATTCACACTGGAAGGACTCTCATTCATCCATGATGTGAACAACTTCCTTTCTGAATTTGGTAGCAATCAAGCATTTAATTGTAATCTGACTTTGTGACACTATTGTTGGCAATAGATTTATAAAAACTGATGATGGATTTTGCAAGAAACACCAAGTTGCACTAAAGTTCTAGGTGTATGGATTTCACAATAAAGAGCACTGTGTTTTATTATTTGTAAACTGTGCTATGCATTCTTTACATCAGTAAAATTTATAACAAACGTATGTGTGTATACATATGTATACCCTCCCACCTACAAAGCCATTAAACATTTCTCCGCACACCGCTGCACAGATCCCATCCACTCACATTCCACTGGCAAGAATGTAGTCACATGGCCACACTTAGCTTCAAGGGACTCTGGGAAATGTAGTCTCTAGCTGGGTGGTCATGTGCCCCGCTAAAATCCAGCCTGTTGGCAGCGTCATATATTTTACCCAGGGGAGAGCACCAGCTCGCTGAGGTTAGAACCATTTGGACTTTCCAAGGCCACAGTTACGGCCTTCTTCTGGGCTCACCTGAAGGCCCACCTCTAGAATTACCTCTGGCTCCCTTCAGGAGCTTGAGAAAGCACAGAGAATAGTGTCCTGAAGGGATTTTGCTTCTGCGCCTTCAAGCGCCCTTCCTGCCCTCACCTTCACTGCTTACATCCATCATCCCGTCGGGCACTTCCGGCCTGACTCCACAGTGGCCTGCGAGCAGTTTTGTGGCCCAGACCAGTGTTTCGGGGTTGTTAAAAGATAAAACTTTAACCAAATTAAATTTAATTGAGTTTAATTAAGCAAAGAATGATTCTCCAATTGGGCAGCTCCCAGAAGCAAAATAGGTTCCGACTGCCTCCAGGCTGCCACGTGGCCCATAACATTTATGGGAAGGAAAAGGAAAATGGAAGCGAGGTGCAAACACAAGGGAACTGGCTACAGCTCGCCTCTGCCTTATTCCAACACGGCTAGGACAGCTGCCCACCTGTGATTGGCTGAGACTCCGCCACTTGTTACGAGAGGAGGTTACAGTCTGTTCCCACCTCCAGTTAGGTTATAGTTCACTGTGTGGAGAAACCTCCAGGCCCAAGTTAAAACATGTAAGGAGGCAGCGTTACACTCAACTTAATTTAACAGGGTGCACTGAATAGAATGTGGGCTCTGGAGTCCTGACTTGTGCAAGTCATTTCACCTCTTTGGACCTCAGTTTCCTCCTCTGTAGAACAGGGATAATAATACTCACCTTGCAAGATTATTGTAAGGGTCAAATGAGACAATCTTTTGGGAAAACGTTTTGTTATCTAGAAACTGCAATTCAAATGTAAGGAGAAATTAATTCCAATTCCTACTTGAGTGGCCTGTGATCAGGCTCAGATGGAATTATGGACACATAAGCCCTTTATAAAACTGTTAAGCACTCTATGTACTGATATTAGGTGGCATCTTACATTTCTAAGTAGTGAAAAATTATTGGTTATTTTATTATAACAAAAGCAATACTGTATTCATAGAATTTAGGAAATGTAAACTAAGAAATAAGAAAATAAAAATACCTGTTGACAACCCAAAATAAGCGATTGAGGTAAAGATCTTAATCAATGGAGGTTTATTAAGCTGAACTTCAAGGACGTGCCCAGGAAAAAGCACAAACCACACAAGGATCTGTGGCCCGTGCTCTCCAAAGAGGGATTTGGGAACGTCAGTATTTAAGGGGAGAGGGCACACAGAAAGGAAAAGGAGAAGGGGATGGGCAGTGAGGCAAATGGTTACATTCTTATGAGCCCCAGGAAAGCGACATTTTACATAAGATAAGGTGAAGGTTTGAGAAGAAAAAGGGAGTAAAGGGAAACCAATTATGTCCATATCCCTTCCAGATAGAAGAATCATTGATCTCATCTTGTCTCTGTTCTACACCTGGGAAGATAAACTTGTAATCAACGGTATTAGTGTGGAATGAACAGACTTTAGCTTTAGGAGCTAGACTTAGCCTGCAGACCTAAAGTTACAATTTGCATGTTCTTATTTATGAAAGTCCAGCAAGGAATTTCCTTATGAATCATCTTTGGGGGCAGTCCTCATGGATGCCTGAGGCCTTTTACCTTTCCATGGGGGATCTGGCTAAAGCATATTGTTAGGAACAGCCATGCATTTGGAAGGGGGTGTTGCATGACTCAGCCTCCAGACTTGACTTTCCCTTTGGCATAAGGAATTGGGGGGTAGTCGTGTGATTTTATTTTACTTTACACTATAATACCAGCCAGAGATATCCACTATTTATATTTTGATATAGCTCCAACAATTATCAACTCATAGTAATGTTTGTTTTTTTTTTAACTCACTTCTCTTTCTCCCAACTCCTCAACAAAATTATTTTGAGGCAAATCCCAGATATCATATAATTCTATCATAAATATTTTTGCATTTATCTCTAAATTTAAGGATACTTTCAATAAATATAATGCCAATATAAAGATCACTTAAAAATTAGTTCTCAATATTATCAAAAGATGATCATTATTCAAATTTCCCTAATCGTGTATTTCTTTTTTTGTAAATTGTTTTTCTTATTCCTTCAACTGAGTGTTTATGAAGGAATAAGATAGCAGGCAAAAACAAACAAACAAAAAAACCAACCAAATATTGAGTGTTTGTCTTTTTTTATTTATCTGCCATGTTCTTTATATACTAAGGATATTAACTAAGGTGATATTTTATTACTTATTATTGTTATTCCTCCAGGGAAAGCCATGGAGACTTCAGGATCCTTCTCCCAATCTCAAGACAACAGTCGAGTCCACAGAGAAACAGAAGATCTAAACTGTATGTTTGCCTTCTCTGACCCTCTGGGCAAAGCCAGATGGGAGGCGGAGTCTAACTGCGGATGGGCCAGAAGACCCGGTTCAGCTTATGTAGCGCAATGGCTCAAATAAAGTTGAAATGGGGAAGTAGTGATTTTACACACATGCACAAACAGATGCTTGGTGCAGTCTGTCCCCAAGCCCTTTCTAGCTGTGGGGACCCTCAGTTGCTCCCCAAACCTCATGAAGTCTCTGGGGGCTTGAGCTGGCACTAGGGAGAGTCTCCAGAAGGCGGGAAGGGTTCTGTGCGGCCTCAGAATGAGAGATGGGAAGATCTGGGGCTTGATCGGATCCCATGTTCCCAATAACTTACAGAGGATCCCAAATTGGCAACTACTCCACAGAGTCTAGCAGTTTCTGGGCAGGGCAGGATGCTTAAGATCCCCTTTTCTGAGGTCCATATTCAGGGGAATTTCTGCTGTGGGCCTTCTGGAGCCCCTGGGATCTCTGACAGCCTTGGTCTAAGAGAGATAGTCCAGTCTCCTGTCTCCCCAGATCCAAGTAGAACCCCGGGGAGGCTTTGGTGGTCCCCGGGGTGGGAAGCGTGGGAAACGCTCATCCTTTGCGTATGTGCGCCTCACAGATGCAGAGACAGAGTTCCGCAAGCAAGATGAGAAGGCCGGACTCGCATCCCAAAAACAATATGAGAGAGACAAATCTTCCTCCTCCTCTTCTTCATCCTCCTCCTCCTCCTCCTCAGGTAGAGCAAAGATTTAAAAATGTGTGTGTGTGTGTGTGTGTGTGTGTGTGTGTGTGTGTGTGTGTATCACTGTATTATTCAAGAAAAATATTTACATGGAAAAAATCCCGCACACTTCAGGTAATTGAAGTACTTGATACTTCAGTGCTGTTTTTCCCACACTCCCTCCTTCTGGAGCCCGTGTCTCTATGCACATACTTGTACATACACAGTTATAATTGATCATACAGGCAGTTTTGTCTTCCGTTTAAAAGTTTTTGCCAGCTTATCCTAAGCATTTTGCCATGTTAGTCTGTAATATCTTTGCAGCTAATTTTAATGCTTACCAACCAGCCCCTCAAGTGGCTGCATCTCATGTAAATTAATGTTTAAGTTTATTAGGGGTACTCTGTGGCTATAGTCAAAGCGTGAGTTGTAGGTTCAAATCCTGTCTTTGCCACTAACTAGTTTTGTGTCCTTGGGTAAACTGCTTAACCCCTGTGTGCCTCAGTGTCCCCATCTATAATATGAGGGTGATAACAATAGCTAATACCTGGTAGGATTATTGTGAGGATTAAATTCGTCATACAGGCAAAGTCTTAGCACCTAGCACACAGTAAAAGCTCTAAAAATAACTGCTACTGTTAAAAATCTTCCTCCTCCTAGGTTTATCATGCTCATGAGCTTCCTTGTGCAAAGCTTATACTTTTTGAATTTTTTGTACAAATCATGTCCTAAGTATTGACTCCCCACAAGTACTTTAGTGAGTTTAGAGGAATGACAGGGTTTTGCTTACAAATTACCACATTATTCCCCAAGAAACAGCAGAATGTTCTTGCATTTTAATTCTTTTAATTCAAAATGTGCCCAGGTATGGTGGCTCATGCCTGTATTCCTAGCAATCAAGGAGGCCGAGGCGGGAGGATCGCTTGAGGTCAGGAGTTTGAGAACAGCCTCAGCAAGAGCGAGACCCTGTCTCTACTAAAAATAGAAAGAAATTAGCCAGGCAACTGAAATAGAAAAAAAATTAGCCGGGCATGGTGGCGCACACCTGTAGTCCCAGCTACTCGGGAGGCCAAGGCTGGAGGATCGCTTGAACCCAGGAGTTTGAGGTTGCAGTGAGCTAAGCTGATGCCACGGCACTCTAGCCTGGGCTACAGAGCAAGACTCTGTCTCAAAAAAAAAAAAGAAAGAAAGAAAAGAAGAAAATAGAAGTCACCCCAAATCCTCTTTCCTGAAATAAATACCACTGGTGTTATTTTGATGTGCTTCCTGATCCCTCTTCCTCTGCATCCAGTTGAGATCACACATGCGATGATTTTTAAGCACAGTTAACTTGGTTTCCTGGAATTTTTAAAATTTATCTGTGATTGACCATGAGTTCGCCAAGCATACTGAGGAAGACTCAACACTGTTGAGGCCATCTTGGTCGTCCTGAGGAAAGGGGAGTCCTCTGGACATGGACAGAAACTCCTAGACCTGAATTCTTGGAATGCTGACTGGCCCAACAGCACAAATGACTCAGTCATTCTTCAAGTCCCAATCAAGCTCCTGCTTCAGACTGGGCCCCCCTGAAAGGTGGAGGTCCTTCGGGAGTCTGAGATTGCTGGGGAGACGAGATCATGAGACCACTGGCCCTCACATCCGGAGTCAAGCACAGACAGCTGGTGCTATAGAAACTCCAGAAGGGCAGCTTTGTGCAGTGGCAGTATCAAAGCCAATGAGGTTTATTCGAGGCGTGATTATTGCTAATCGAAAACTTTTCCCAATACCCCACCATGACAACTTGCAATATAGTCGGCATTGGCAATTTTTGACGGTCCCTACGGGGACTGAATAAAAAAGAAAAAAAATAGAAATTTAAGAAGGGGAAAGGCAAGACCAGTGTGAGGGGGCAGTTGGGAAAGGCTTTCTACAGGAGGTGTGACCTCAGCTTAACCTTCATGATAACAGAAATAAACGGGAAGGACATTCAAGGTGGGTGGGAGACACAGCAAACACCCAGAGTCAGCGTGACGTGGGGAAACAGGGACGACACAGCCCCTGTGCTTGGTGGGATGGAAACCACCTCAGTAACCTGATACCTCATGGGGCCTTGTCCTATCTTCCTGAAAGCCTTGTGAAGTAGGCAGGGCAGCTACAGAAATACTAAGTAGACATGAAGCCAACAGAACTATTAAGTGATCTGTCTAAGCTCACACAGAAAGTTAGCAGTGGTCTCCTGTCCCCCAGTCCCCAAAGCAGAGCTCCTTCCAGCAACGAATGCAGTCCCGGCTTGTTCCAGGCTTGGTCCAGGCTGAGGTTCTCTTACAGCTTGTTATTTCTTCCCTGCAGAGAGCGGTGATGAGGACAAGCACCCCAAAGTAACTGGAAAACGTCGACGGAGCCTGGGGGCCAGACGCTCCCACAGTGGCGGCTCACCCGGTAGGCAGCAGGCCTCACCACTCTTCCTGTGCCAACTTGGCTCACTGCTGAGTTTCTGCGTGGGGCTGAGCCTGTCTGTGTGAAGACGTTCTTCACAGCGTTGTTTATGGCAGGGTAAAAACAGAAAGTAGCAACAGCAAAACAGATAAAGGATGCTACACCGTGACCTGGTGTTAGCTCTGTTCTTCATCTGTCTCTAAAGTGAAAAAGAAAAATGCCAAATCGTATAATTAATTCAATCTCATATATACTTTGTAAAAATTCACACATACATGGTTATAAATGCGCCTAGAAGGAAAAATACCAATAGTGGTTATCTCTGGATGGTAGAATTATGAGTGATTTTTATTTTCTCTTTTTTAAAGTATCCTATACTACAAATAATTTACAGTGAACTTGTCTTATTTTACACCCAGAAGGAAATAATTTTTGCAAGAAAATAAATCACAAATTTTGTGGGAAGGAAAGAGTATGGAGGAAAGAACCTGCATTAATGCCTAGTACAGAACCTGGCACACAGGAGGTGATTAATAAATGCTGCCCATGAAGCTCGATCTGAGCTCTGGGTTCTATTTCTGGACATAAAAATGATTAGGGGCCGGGCAAGGTGGCTCACGCCTGTAATCCTAGCACTCTGGGAGGCCGAGGCGGGAGGATTGATTGAGCCCAGGAGTTTGAGGCTGTACTGAGCTATGATGATGCCACTGCACTCTAGCCAGGTGACAGAGTAACACTCTGTCTCAAAAAAAAAAAAAAAAGATTAGGAATGCAGGCTTTGGCAACAGACCCGGTAGACTTGCCACTTACTAGCTACGTGACTTTGGGAGAATAACTTAACCTTTTGAGCCTCAGTTTCCTTATCTGTATAATGGGTGGGATTAGGTACTAATACCTTCTTCAGAGGACTTCTATGAGGAGCAAATGAAATATTAAATGTAAATTACTTAATACAGTGTTGGTACATAGTAAGTGCTCAGTAAATGATAACTATTATTATTGACCTTGAACAAGGCCCCAGTCCTCTCAGGTCCCAACTTCTTTCTTAGTAAACTGAGCATGGTCTCTTCTGGAGGTGCTGGGGAGGGTGTGTGTGTCAGACGGTGTAAAGGGAAAGCAGTCGTAAGGCTGTTTTGAATCTTGAAGACCTTCCACCGCTCCCCAGCACAAGGACTGTGGTACTTGTTAAGGTTCCAGACCCATGAGGGATGGGAGTGGCCCAGGGTCGCTGTGTCTGGGGAGAATTGACCAACGGGTTTATCTCCATCCAGGTGCTGCACAAGGGGAGCCTGACGTTTTGAAGGATGAACTTCAACTCTATGGAGGTAATTGGTTGTCCAGCAGCTTTGGAGAAAACAGAATTACACTAAAGACATGAGGGCTTAAGGCTTCGTTGGGCAGAAACAAGGCCGTGGGGGTGTTTCATGAGCTGAAAAGTCCAAGGCAAATACAGGGGGTGTGGCGAGCTGGATGGTAATCACATTGGCAGATGGGGTGGGGGCATTTTCTGCCATGATGAGACTGTTTCAAGGAAACCCTGCATTCTCTCTGAGCTAGAACCTGGACTTGTGGATGACCTTGACAAGTCACCCAGCCTTTCTGGGCCTCAGCTTCCCAACCAGCAAAATGGGACATATCAGTAGCCCCCTTCTCTTGGAATATTGGGCTGTTTAAGTGTGCAAGTAAAAAGTAAGGATCTGTCTCTACAATACGTATTTTATAAAATGCGTGTTTCCAAGCACCCGGATTCCTACAGGGAGGAAGTAGAGATGATGTGGCCCTTTGTAGCACTAGGATGAAATGGGAGAATTTTTAGGCATAAACCCGTTTGCCAAAGAGCCTGACAAACACACCAGATAAGAAAGCCTGTTTAACTTTTTTTAATCCAACATTTCCAAAATCTATGTTGTTTCCTAATGCCTGGTAATAACGCAAGAAAAACAGCGGAAAATGCTTATGTATACACTCAAAGAAAAAAGACTGATAGGTGGGTAATCTTTATAGTGTTTTATTTGCTCATCTGAAATTTTTCTTTTTTTTTTTTAACAAAAATAAGTATTACTGGCTGGACGCGCTGGCTCACGCCTGTAATCCTAGCACTCCAGGAGGCTGAGGCGGGCGGATTGTTTGAGCTCAGGAGTTCGAAACCAGCCTGAGCAAGAGCGAGACCCCGTCTCTACTAAAAATAGAAAGAAATTAATCGGACAATTAAAAATATATAGAAAAAATTAGCCGGGCATGGTGGCACATGCCTGTAGTCCCAGCTACTCAGGAGGCTGAGGCAGAAGGATTGCTTGAGCCCAGGAGTTTGAGGTTGCTGTGAGCTAGGCTGACGCCACAGCACTCTACTCCAGGCAACAGAGTGAGACTCTGTCTCAAAAAAAAAAAAAAAAAAAGTATTACTTAGTTTAGAAAAATGCTTAAATTACTCAAGTAGTTTAAGAAAGTTTTCACTGGGTGTAAAATAAGAGAGAATGTTATGTTTACATGTATCTGAAAATATTTTTTCTTATCATAAAAGTAATTCGTATTCTCTGTAGAAAATGTAGGTATAGTCACCTACTTGTGAATGATTCTTCTCCCACCAAGAAATTGAAGGTGCTCAGTAAATTACATTGTTTGAGTCTCATTTCATGTTACTTTTGGCATGTTCTCTGCACTCCTGGTATTGGCTGCTCTCTGGTCACTTCGCAGATGGTGTCCCCTGTTTGTCCATCATCCCTAAGGACAGTTCAGTGTGCTGAGTGTTTGTTGCCCTGTGCTCAGTTGTGTCCTGGGGCTGCCCTGAAGGACAGGAAATGTACAGGAGTGCATGTGGGTGGGGGAGGGGGAGATCACACAGGGTCTTGCTGCCCTTGAGGGGAAGAAGATGACAGGCTAGGAGAGAGGTCACCAGGAATCTGGTGGGAAGGCCACCCAGGATGGGATTATTGATAATAGGGAAGCTGCAGCCCAGGGCAGCTCTATAGGGCTCAACTCACCCTCCACAGCCCAGACAAGTGGCTCAGCGGTGGTGGGGACCGCAGCTCGGGGTGCACAACTCATCGTGGCTCCACCCACTCAGGGCCTGGGAGCCACGTGGCCAGATGTCAGCACCTGCCTGTGGATAGCCTTGAAGCAGGCACACTGCAAATTGGTGGCCCGTGTGTGCAGATGCGTTTTATCTGGCTCAGAGTGTTTTTTAAAATTATGATTGTGAATATATTTCATCACTTCTACATTTTTTTACATTTGAACATCTCTGAAATCAGGATGCATCTTACAATCACTAGCAATTTACAACCATAATTGGCAGGGATTTTCCTTACGTAGCAGCACATAAAATAATGTTACGCCTCACAAACGATGGCATCTCTGATTTGTGGAATACAAGAGTTGCCAACGTTTTTTATAAACGAGGAAGTTTATGTTAAAATCTGGTTCCTTGTGGGAACTTGGAAGACCTGTAAGGTTGGGCGGGCGTTCCCACAGCAGGTTTCCGTGGGTGGTGGCTGGTGGCTGCCCCTTTAGACGCGGCAGGAACGCTCCAGCCTGCTGCAGTCCCCACCTGGCCTACTCCCGAGCGAGGGGAGAGTCTCCAAGCAGGATCCACTTTCCCTGAAGTGTAACTTCTCCCCACCCAAACCATCATGGGTGTGTGATGACTGATTTTTCTCCTGTATAGATGCCCCTGGAGATTTGGTGCCCTCTGGAGAAGCAGGTGAGTGTCCAGCTGGGGGAGAGGGGTCGTGGGTGTCAGTGTTGAGTCAGGTCTGGCTGTCCCCTCTCCCCTGAGGGAGCCGGCTGCCGTCAGGGTGCCTGGCTGGGGCTCTGGCGCAGGCTCAACAAGCAGGCGGTGCCAGCTGCATGAGGCAGGGAGCCAGTGGCGGTCAGACAGGGGTCAAGGCAAGAGGCAAGGGGATTACAACCAGCCATCAATAGATAGCATGATCCCCAGGGGCTGGAGAATTCGACGGGGCATTTCTTTAGGTACTCTAGCCTCCTCCAGGGTGGAGGCACGGCTTAAGGACCGCAAGCTGGCCTGGACACTAACACTGAGCTTCTCATTTCCAGGACTCCGGAGGAGAGGCTCTGACCCAGCAAGTGGTAGACACGCGAGCTCAGATCGGGGCGCGGGAGGTGGTCTGCATTCCAGGGTGGGACGTGGCCACAGATGGCCCGAGAGGGTGGGTCAGTCCCAGTAGGTAGGCCCTCACCAGCCAGAGTGTCACAGCGACTCAGGAAAGGGACCTCCAGTGCAGGGGAAATGAGACAGAAGGCAGGCTCAGGCCTGTGGAGGGAGGAGGGATCGGTGGGGATCCCAAGGACAGCACCCCCATCTTCATGGTTTTACTTAACTGCTCCCGCAGTGAGCACCCTCTGACCCAGGAAGAAGCACCCAGTTCAATTCTTGGTGAGGCAGGGAGGAAAAAGTCCCACCTGCTGTCCCATGTCAAAGTTGAACACTCGTCTCTGTCTTATTCCTAAGGAGAAGTGGAGACCTCTCAGTTAAGAAGGCAGAACATAAAGAAAGACGGTAAGGAAATCGGTGTTGCAGCGCAGCGTCCTCCTGTCCTGGTCCAGACGCCTATGGGTGAAAGGCAGCCCGAGGCCTAGGACATAGTAATCACAGCCCACCTCTGCCCTGCGGTTTGCAAGTTCCTCAGCTCAGAATCACCTGGAGAAGTGGGACAATGATTCCCATTTTGTAGATATGGAAACTGAGGCTCAAAGTTGGGGCATAGCCTTACAGCTTGTGAGTGGCACAGCCTGGGCTCGAACCCTAGTCCTCTGCTCTTTCTGCTATAAGCGGAGGCACCAGGATGGTAAACGCCTGCCAGGCCTTGTGGAAGCTGAGGTTAGATTAGACCAGACTCTAGGGAAGGAGCCAGGAGAGCTGAAGGGACCTCCTCTGCTCCACCCTGGGATCTCAGGGGACTTCAGGAGGAAGAGGAGGGCCGGCGGGGAGACAATGGCTTTTGATGAAACAAATGGCAGTTGTTCTGGAAACATCTAGAGTTGTTGCAAAAGCCCCACCTTCAGAGAGCGGGGGACCTGGGGCAGAGCCCCTCGCTTGCCTCTGTCCGGCCTGGTGAACCAGGGCCGCTGTTGAATTTTCCCGGGCTAAAAAGCGGGACCAGAGCCGAGCTTCTCAAAGCGCAGGCTGCGGCCAGGTTGCTTCGGGACGTGGCATTATGCCCCAAGGCAAGAAGGCGACCACCGTCCGCTCTCGTTCTCAGGGCACAGTCTCTGTCTGGAGCCCCACGCCCTAGCTGCAGCCTGGCCCTTGCTCGTCGCCCTCCGGCCACGGAGCGCAGGCCTCTCCCTGCGCCAGGGACTTCCCGGGCAGCAGGGCCTGGCGAGAACGTCACCGGCTTCTGTCCGCCTTGTGTGGATTTTTAAGTTAGGGGATCCTGGTCTTCCACTTACTGTTGTGACATAAAGTTTCCTTTAAAGTAAATGTATTTCAGGAAAAGGAATCTATTTAAAGAAAAATATGAGGTAAATGCTAGTACAGACGACCCTTGGGTTAGCATGAAGCTGTGCAAGTCCAAGAAAAACTGGACAAGAATGACCCCGAGGTCCCTTCCAGCTCCAGCCTCATTCCGCATCCCTACTCTCGCCTGACCTCTTCAGCCTCCAAAATGTCCCCTGTTCAACAGCCCCCCACTCTGACTGCTGGAACCCTCCCTCCACGGTCCGTGCCTGGGTTCCGTCTGCTCACCGTATCTCATGCTGCCCTGCCCAAGGAGCCAGGCACGGGCACGCACATGCGCACACACACACACGTACTCATAGAGACACACACATGTACTCACAGAGACACATACATACACACGGACACATACATACTCACACACACACATGTACTCACAGAGACACATACACAGAGACACACACGTACTAACAGAGACACATACACACACATACATACAGACACACACACAGAGACACACACATGTACTCACAGAGACACACATATACTCACAGACACATACATACAGACACAGAGACACACATGTACTCAGAGACACGTACATACACACAGACACATACATATAGACACTGAGACACACACGTACTCACAGAGACACACATACTCACAGACACACACACATACAGACAGAAACACACACACACAGATATACACACACACTCACAGACACAGAGAGATGTAGACACATACACATACATACATACACGGGCACACACAGAGACTGACACACACACATATATGCACAGACAGACACACAGACACATACATAGACAGACAGACACATGCCTCTCATCCAAGTCCTCCTGCCTCGGCTGTCTTTAAGGCTCAGCTCAAACTCATTCTTCCACCAAGTCCTCCCACACTGCCCTGGCCATGGCGACGCCTGAATTTTTATGACATCTCAACAACTACATAAAATTCCAAGTATGGGTACAGAATATTGTGCTTTCTATTCTTCAATTGATGGACATTTGAGTTGTTTCTGATTTTTCATTTTCACACTAAGCTGTCCTCCCTCTAGGCCTCTATTTGATCTTGCATTGTGTTGCTACCTCCTCTTTTTAAAAAATAAAACTTATATCTTCTAAATATTTATTCACAAGACAGCTGGAAAACAGATCCAGGGAGAAATTCTCTGTTGGGAATTCATTTTGTATTTCTGAAAAATTGATGAGGAAGAGAGGAGGAAAAAATCTCTCTGATCTACCTCACCCCAGGCTTTCCCGTCTCTGAAGGGACCTAGGCCCGATGCTTTCTTGCACAGTGGGTCTAGTTCTACATCATGTCCTTTTTTCCCTAAAGGGTAAACTGACTTCAGAGCCAAGAATGTTCTAGAAATACTCATTTTGTTTTTGCCCCAGAAGCAAAAACAAACAAAAATGCCCTCCTCTCCTTCTGCTCACTTCCCTTCAAGATGCCCCTTGGCAGCGACGATACCCGCCGTCATGCTGCCCTGTACCACTGAGGCAGCACTATGCCAGCCGAGCGCCCGCCCATCCTCGTAGTGATGTGCGCCCCACGCTCCTATCTTACCAAGGAGCGATCTGAGGCTCAGAGGAGTCAGGACACCTGTCCAACACCTCACAGCACATTGGTGGCCAAACTGGACTGAACAAGGGTACATTCCCACAGCCTTGCTCCAGGAAACCGTCTCTGGATCGTCCTGTCTTGTGTCTCTTCCTTCCTTTCTTTTTAAAATCTGTTTTGCATCCCCTCTAATCGCAGCTCCTTGACGGGGTCGAGGCCCCTGGGAAAGCAGGAAAGTTGTGCTCTCTCCCAGACCCTCCCCACAGTGCCTGGCGAAGTGCAGGGGGCTCTTTTACAGAGCATCCCTGGATTCCTGCCCGAGGCACGAGTCCTGCTCTCAGCTCTTCTCTGAGCCTCTGTTGAGTTCCTAGACCCTCCAAGCCTGCAATGCCACTTCCAGGCACCAGGCCCACAGAAACAGGTGCACGAGGGCATGGAGATTCTTGGGTAGTGATTTTGGTGCAGCCTCGATGGGAATAGGAAAAAATTGAACACCTCTAGCTTCATCAACGGGGGTCTAGTGACATGAAACCAATTAGGATAAATATATATCATGGAGCACTGCACAGCCATCGAAAAGAACAAGGCGGATCTGTGCGCTCTGAGATGGAAGATGGCCTTGCCCAGGCACGGGAGGGAAAAAGCAAATTGTAGAGCAGCGGGGATACAGACCGCTCCCATTTATGTTTTAAAAGTGTGCATATATATGCCTGGAAAAACTTGGCCAATCACTGCTCACTTTTAAGGAGTGAGATTTGGGAGGGAGAATGAGGCAATGTGAAGGTTTTAACTTTAAACTTGACACATTTGCATTTTTTATTATTGTATTTAACATTCATCTGACAAATACAGTATCGAGCACCTGTGTGTGCCCATTGCTGCTCTAGTTGCTGGGGGTCCCACGGGGACGAGACCAGCTAAAATCACTGCCCACCCCGGAGCCACATCCTGGGGTGGGGAAAGAGAATAAACACACAAATGAAATATAATCAGTTGACTAGTGACAAATGTTACAAAAATAATAAAGTGAGATAAAGGGTGGTTTGGGGGTGAGGTTTTAGTTTGGCTGGTCAGGAACAGTGTCTCTGGGTTGTTTTTTTTTTTCCTTCTCATTTTTTTTTTTAATTTTATTGCCTTCTAAATGTGCCTGTTTTCTTTCTTTTTCTTCTTCTTTCTTTTTTTTTTTTTTTTTGAGACACAGTCTCACTCTGTCACCTGGGCTAGAATGCTGTGGCGTCAGCCTAGCTCACAGCAACCTCAAACTCCTGGGCTCAAGCAATCCTTCCACCTCAGCCTCCAGAGTGCCAGGATTACAGGCAGTGAGAGCCACTGGCCCAGCCCAGCATCTCTGAATAAAGTTACATTTGAGCAGAGATGAGAGCCACTGGCCCGGCCCAGCATCTCTGAATAAAGTTACATTTGAGCAGAGACTTTGTGTAATTTAAAAAAGAGAGAAAGAAGCAAATGGCAATTCCCCCCTCTGCCTTTACAGATGAGTTTTTCCATTTCGTCCTCCTGTGCTTTGCCATCGGGGCCTTGCTGGTGTGTTACCACTATTACTCAGGTGCGGGCTGGGCCCTGGGGAAGGGGAGGGAGGTGGCATGGGGGGTGTCTAGACCCACAGGCCAACCATCTCCTCCCTCTGCCCTTGCAGACTGGTTCATGTCCCTTGGGGTCGGCCTGCTCACCTTCGCCTCCCTGGAGACGGTCGGCATCTACTTCGGGCTGGGTAAGTCCCCTCAACACACACACACACACACACACACACACACACACACACACACACACAGACACAGAGTCTCAGAGGGCTGGTGGCTGGGCTGGCCATACTTGCTTGTCAAGGGCCGGAGAGTCACAACATAAACATTATTTTTTTTTAGTTTCCTTATGCTCATGTTTTCTTCCTGACCACCTTCAAGGTCAATGTGAGGTCATTGGCAAAACCTTGTGGAAAAAATGGGCAGGTCCATAAAAATACAACAAAACAATTTAAAGTGGCAAACAATTGGGGTTCGGTGGCGCATGCCTGTAGTCCCAGCTACTCGAGAGGCTGAGGAGGGAAGATCACTCGAGCCCAAGAGTTTGAGCCCAGCCTGGGCAATATATCAAGACTACATCTCTAAAAAAATATAAAAATAAAAACGTAAAGTCGCAAACAAATAAAATTAGCCAGATGCTGAAAACAAGTTAGTTAAAGGAGTTGGGAACTGAATTTGCCCAGTGAATTTCCTGCCACCATTCTTACTGTTCTTGGTGGTTGTTTTTAACGACAGTAACTCTGGCACTATTGCCCACCTGCCGCCTGAGATTCTGCTTTGTGTGCGCGGGTTAGGCCTTTGTCCAAGGGTGGGCAGGGAGGGAGGGCTCTGACCCCGCAGCCCTGGAGGGCACAAACCTGACTCCACTTTCTCTTTGTTTCGGGCAGTGTACCGCATCCACAGCGTCCTGCACGGCTTCATCCCCCTCTTCCAGAAGTTCAGGCTGATGGGTAACTTTTATTTATCTATTTTTTATTTCAGCATATTATGGGGGTACAAGTGTTTCGGTTACGTATATTGCCCTCCCCCCGCCCCGAGATGGGTGACTTTTAAACGCTTCCCGTGTTCACTGTCCCTCCCCGTCAGCGTCTTCCATGTTGAAAGAGGCTCAGCACGTGGAAACGGCACAGGGCCTGGAGGCAGAGGCCCAGGTTTGAGTCCCCCCTCCGCCAGTTTGCCAGTTCGGTGACCCTGGGTGGGCCCTGCAGCCTCTTTTAGCTTCAGTTTCCTCAACTGGAAAATGGGTGTGCGGCTTTCTGCTGCACACGGGTGTTCGGGAATCAAGTGGGGAACAGGCGCCGAAGGCCTTCAGTGCGAAGCGCTGGAAAGGAGCCTTCTTCTGCCTCACTGTCTCACGGAGCTTTACGCCGCCCAGACGCTGTCGCGACTCTGGTGCTGTCTGCCTAATAGCACCTGGGGAGGTGGGTTTGGTCACCTTACTCTGGACTGCTGAGGAAACCGTGGCTCAGAGAGGTGCAGTGACTGGCCCGGAGTCACGGCTGGAGTGGCAGGGCTGGGCTAGCTCTGCGCCCACCTCACGTCTCACAACAGAGAGGCCAGGCAGCTGTGTGTCTCCTTGAATCCATTAATTACTAAAAGAGAGATTAGCTACCATGACCGTGGGCCATGGGGACCCGTGGCTTCTGGGATGACCGCCTCATGCCAGCTGTGAAGGTTACTGGGCACCTGGGGCAACGGTGGGGACGAGGCAGGCCTGGCTGCCTTCAGAATCCCATGCCATCTTGCGGGCTGTGCCTTCCAGGGTTCAGGAAGACCAACTGAGGCCACTGCCAGGTGGGCAGCCGCGCGAGGCCCCGGTTTGACCACCGTTGCAAGCCCTGAGCCCACAAGGACAAGGACAGAGTGACGTTCCGGGAGACATGCGGGAGGCCGAGCCAGAGCAATAAAGAGAGCACTTTTCCTCCCACGTGGTCTGACCGTGGCACCGGCCCAGGCAGGGGCATCGTTCAGGAAGCGCTGGCAGGCCATCCGCCCCCCAGGATGGAAGGCAGAGGGAGGGCACGGGGCTGAGCCCTTCGCGGTACCTGAACCAGCAGGAAGATTCTGAGAGGTCACTGCTCTCGGGAGACTGCAGGAGACCCCCGACCCTGATGCTGTAATCCGCCTGGGCTCGCGGTCTCCCTCAAATCCCCAGGCTAACCCGGTGGGCTCTCAGGTCCTACAAAGCCATCCAGGGACAGACAGACAGTCCACCACCCTGAGGCACAGAGCCACCAGGCTGGGTCTCCCAGGTGAACCTGATGCAGGTAAGATGTTGGGGACCGAAGCCACAGCATCTGGCCATCTTCCCTGAGCCGCATCTCCACCCAATGACAGCCCTGCTGCCCTGGACTCCATCAGGATTCAAATAAACATTCTCTTGCCTGTGTTAAAAAGAGTCAGCCAAATATTCCTTCAGCTCTCTGGAGCACGAGAACACATTTGGGGTCTCTTTGAATCTAGGTATCTAGTCAAGGCGATACCTTGTCCTGTCGGATAAAATATAAAAGGGGACAAACGCAAAGCTCCTCACTCTAGGTCCAAGATTTCACCTGCACAGATTCGGAGTGGGAGACAGGGCTTTGCAACCACTCTCGTGAAAAATATCTGGGGCCTTAAGTGTTTTCAGTTCAACAAATACCGAAGGAGTGAGTGAGGGCACAAAACAAAAACCATTGCCAACTTGGGCTGCATTAACAGAAGCATAGAGTCTAGATTGAAGGAGGTAGTAACAAGTCCTACTTTGCACTGGCCAGGAGCACGTGTTCGGGGCTAGACTTACACACTAACAGCAATAGTGACCACTTAGAAAATACACAGACCAGAGTGGGAACATAGAAATGATTGAACGCCAGGCGTGGTGGCTCACACCTGTAGCCCCACCTACTTGGGAGGCTGAGGTAGGTGCGTCCCTTGAGCCCAGGAGTTCAAGTCCAGCCTGGACAACACAGTGAGACTCTGTCTCTTAAAAAAAAATTTAAAAATAAATAATGATTGAAGAAATGAGAATTCTTCAACTTGCAGAAGAGAAAAGTGGGGCCTCCATTAAACTCAGCGATTCTTGGAGGACACTTCCTTAAGTGCTTACGATGGCCCAGGGACAGTCACATATGCTATTTGATTCAATTCGCACAGCAGCCTTGAGATAGATGAATCATCCTCATTTTGCAGATGGAGAAACAGAGGCTTAAAGAGCTTTAGTAACTCACTCGAGTTCACACACGAGTAAGTGGCAGGGCTGCAATTCGAACACACGCCTAGGCAAAGTCTGCCTTATAGAGCTTGGCCTGCTCCATCCCTAGCCAGGCAGAGCATCCTTGAGGGAGCTGGAGATTTTCCCAGTGTTTCCCAGACTTCGGCATTTCTCCAAATTACAGAATATTTTTTAAAAGTGAGAGAAAGCCTGGTGTGGTGGTGCATACCTGTAGTCCCAGCTAGTTGGGAGGATCACTCGAGCCTAGAAGTTCAAGGCCAGTCTGGCAAAATAGGGAGACCCCGGCTCTAAAACATTAAATAAAAACTTTTAAAAAGTAAGGAAAGGGGAGTCTGTCAATGCTTTAGTTTCTAATTGAGGACAATAAAAACAAAAATCAACCATCAGCATCATTTACAGAAGAAATGACAGGTTTTGTACCCAAAAAGCAGGAAAATTATCATCAGAAACAAAATGGAGTTTAAAGTGGAATAAATTAAGCTTTGTGAAAGTCTTACTGCCTATCCTTTTTCCTCTGATCATTGTGGTCTGATAAAAATTGTATCTTTTGTTCACCTGGATTATTGTTTTGGAAACAAAATTTTTATATCTTTTGGAAACTGCAGGACTAGAGAATTCCTAAGGATTTTTACCTTCTTTCATTTCTGGGGTTTTCCAACCTCAGCTCCCACATCTCAAGTGATGAATGGCTCATCTCCTCCCAAAGCAATTTGTACTACAAGAATTGTTTGCTCAGGTTCTAAGACACATCTCTTAAGGTATTCTTTCAGACGAATAAAGACTGACCTAAAAGTAGGGAATGAGACTTTTTTAATTGACAAGTAAATATTGTATGTATTTACGGTATACGACGTCATATACACACCTCACATACTTACCATTTTTTGATGGTGAGAACACTTACAATCTACTGTCTTAGCAATTTGTAAGTGCACAATACATGGTCATTAACTGTGCGATAGGTCTCCTAAACTGGGACTGAGTTCTTGATGACCACTCAACACTCACTTGCTACCCTCAACACTCAGCTGTTGGCTTGGCCCTGGCGTCAACGCCTATGGCACAGAGCACGCCGACTTCGCTCTTCGTGTTCCAGATCGTTTTGGCTGTCCCGACTCCCTTGCATTCCACACCAACTCCAGGATCCGCTTGTCAACATCTACAAAGAAGCCAGTGGGAATTCTGATGGATAGCATTGAATCTGTAGATCAGTTTGATGAGCAGTGTGCTTCCTTTTTAGTAATTTATTACCGTTTTTACATTTGGGCAGCCGCGCGAGGCCCCGGTTTGACCACCGTTGCAAGCCCTGAGCCCACAAGGACAAGGACAGAGTGACGTTCCGGGAGACATGCGGGAGGCCGAGCCAGAGCAATAAAGAGAGCACTTTTCCTCCCACGTGGTCTGACCGTGGCACCGGCCCAGGCAGGGGCATCGTTCAGGAAGCGCTGGCAGGCCATCCGCCCCCCAGGATGGAAGGCAGAGGGAGGGCACGGGGCTGAGCCCTTCGCGGTACCTGAACCAGCAGGAAGATTCTGAGAGGTCACTGCTCTCGGGAGACTGCAGGAGACCCCCGACCCTGATGCTGTAATCCGCCTGGGCTCGCGGTCTCCCTCAAATCCCCAGGCTAACCCGGTGGGCTCTCAGGTCCTACAAAGCCATCCAGGGACAGACAGACAGTCCACCACCCTGAGGCACAGAGCCACCAGGCTGGGTCTCCCAGGTGAACCTGATGCAGGTAAGATGTTGGGGACCGAAGCCACAGCATCTGGCCATCTTCCCTGAGCCGCATCTCCACCCAATGACAGCCCTGCTGCCCTGGACTCCATCAGGATTCAAATAAACATTCTCTTGCCTGTGTTAAAAAGAGTCAGCCAAATATTCCTTCAGCTCTCTGGAGCACGAGAACACATTTGGGGTCTCTTTGAATCTAGGTATCTAGTCAAGGCGATACCTTGTCCTGTCGGATAAAATATAAAAGGGGACAAACGCAAAGCTCCTCACTCTAGGTCCAAGATTTCACCTGCACAG